AAAATAAAGAAGATTACAAGAGATAAGGAAGGACGCTACATAATGATCAAAGGATAAATCCAAGAGAAAGACATAGCAATTATAAATATCTATGCACCCAATATAGGAGCACCTCAATACTTAAGACAAATACTAACAGACATAAAAGGAGAAATTGACAGTAACATAATAATAGTAGGAGACTTTAATACCTCATTCATACCAATGGACAGATTATCAAAACAGAAAATAAATAAGGAAACACAAGTCTTAAATGATACATTAGATGAGATGGATCTCACTGATATCTTCAGGACATTCCGTCCAAATGCAGAAGAATACACCTTCTCAAGTGCACACAGAACATTCTCCAGGATAGGTCTACCCACATCTTGGGTCACAAATCAAACCTTAGTAAATTTAAGATACTTAAAGTAATATTAAGCACCTTCTCTGACCACAGCGCCAAGACTAGCTATCAATTACAAGAAAAAAACTGTAAGAAGCACAAACACATAGGTAACAACACGTTTCTAAATAACCAACAGGTTACTGAAGAAATCAAAAGGGAAATAAAAAAATTTTTAGAAACAAATAAAAATGAAAACACGACAACTCAAAACCTATGGGATGCACTGAAAGCAGTTCTAAGAGGGAAGTTTATAGTAATACAATCCTACCTCAGGAAAAAAGAAAAATATCAAACAGACAACCTAACTTTACACCTAAACCAACTGGAAAAAGAACAATAACAACAAAAAAACCTCCAAAATTAGTAGAAAGAATCATAAAGATCCAAGCAGAAATAAATGAAAAAGAAATGAAAAAAACAGTAAAGATTAATAAAACTAAAAGCTGTTTCTTTGAGAAAATAAACAAAATCGATAAGCCTCAGCCAGACTCATGAAGAAAAAAAGAGAGAAGAATCAAATCAACAAAATTAGAAATGAAAAAGGAGAGGTTACAAAAGACAATGCAGAAATACAAAGGATTATAAAGACTATTAGTATATGGCAATAAAACAGATAACCTGGAAGAAATGGACAGATTCTTAGAAAAGTTCAATCTTCCAAGACTGAACCAGGAAGAAATAGAAATTGTGAACAACCCAATTACAGGTACTGAAATTGAACCTGTGATCAAAAATCTACCAAAAAACAAAAGCCCAGAACCAGATGGCTTCACAGGTGAATTCTATCAAACATTTAGAGAAGAGCTAATCACCTATCCTTCTAAAACTCTTTCAAAAAATTACAGAGAAAGAAACACTTCCAAACTCATTCGACAAGGCCACCATCACCCTGATACCAAAACCAGACAAAGACCACAACAAAAAAGAAAACTACAGGCCAATATTACTGATGAACATAGATGCAAAAATCCTCAACAAAATTTTAGCAAACAGAATTCAGCAACACATCTAAAAGCTCAAACACCATGGTCAAGTTGTTGATTTGATTATAGGAAGGCAAGGATTCTTCAATATATGCAAATCAATGTGATACACTATATTAACAAATTGAAAGGTAAAAACCATATGATAATCTCAATAGATGCAGAAAAAGCCTCTGACAAAATTCAGCACCTATTTATGATTAAAACTCTTCAAAAAATGGGCACAGAAGGAACCTACCTCAACACAGTAAAGGCCACATATGATAAGCCTACAGTAAACATTATTCTCAATGGTGAAAAACTAAAAGCATTCCGCCTAAGGGCAGGAACAAGACAAGGGTGTCCACTTTCACCACTATTATTCAACATAGATCTGGAAGTCCTAGCTACAGCAATCAGAGAAGAAAAAGAAACAAAAGGAATCCACAATAGAAAAGAAGAAGTAAAGCTCTCACTGTTTGCAGATGATAGGATAGTGTACATAGAAAACCCTAAAGATACTATCAGAAAATTACTAGAGCTAATCAGTGACTTTAACAAAGTTGCAGGATACAAAATCAATACACAGAAATCACTTGCATTTCTATATACTAATAATGAAAAACCAGAAAGAGAAATTAAGGAATCAATCCCATTCATCACTGCAACAAAAAGAATTAAATATCTAGGAATCAACTTACCTAAGGAGACAAAAGAACTGTACACAGAAAATTATGACACTAATGAAAGAAATCAAAGATGACATAAACAGATGGAGAGATAGTCCATGTTCTTGGGTAGGAAACATCAATATTGTGAAAATGACTATACTACCAAATGCAATCTACAGATTCAGTGTGATCCCTATCAAATGACCAATGGCATTTTTCACAGAACTAGAACAAAAAATTTCACAATTTATATGGAAACACAAAGACTCCGAATAGCCCGAGCAGTCTTGAGAAAGAAGAATGGAGCTGGAGGAATCAACCTTCTGACTTCAGATTATACTACAAAGCTACAGTCATCAAGAAAGTGTGGTACTGGCACAAAAACAGAAATATAGATCAATGGAGCAAGATAGAAAGCCCAGAAATAAACGCATGAACCTATAGGTACCTTATTTTTGACAAAGGAGGCAAGAATATATAATGGGGCAAAGACAGCCTCTTCAATAAATGGTGCTGGGAAAACTGGACAGCTACATGTAAAAGAATGAAATTAGAACACATACCAACACTTGTGTATGGTATGTGTAACACCATGCACAAAGATAAACTCAAAACGGATTAAAGACCTAAATGTAAGACCAGAAACTATAAAGCTCTTAGAGGAAAACATAGGCAGAACACTCGATGACATAAATCAAAGCAAGATCCTCTATGACCCACCTCCTAGAGTAACAGAAATATAAACAAAAGTAAACAAGTGGGGCCTGATTAAACTTAAAAGCTTTTGCACAGCAAAGGAAACTATAAGCAAGGTGAAAAGACAACCCTCACAATGGGAGAAAATAAATGCAAATGAAACAACTGACAAAGGATTAATTTCCAAAATATACAAGCCGCTCATACAACTCAATGCCAGAAAAACAAACAACCCAATCAAACAGTGGGAAAAAGACTTAAACATTTCTCCAAAGACATACAGATGGCTAACAAACACATGAAAAGATGCTCAACATCGCTCATTATTAGAGAAAGGCAAATCAAAACTACAATGAGATATTACTTCACAGGGGTCAGAATGGCCATCATCAAAAACTCTACGAACAATAAATGCTGGAGATGGTGTGGAGAAAAGGAAATGCTCTTGTATTGTTGGTGGGAAGATGGTATGGAAATTCCTTAAAATACTAGGAATAAAACCACCATATGACCCAGAAATCCCACTCCTAGGAATATACCCTCAGGAAACCAAAACTGAAAAAGACACATGTATCCCATTGTTCATTGCAGCACTATTTACAATAGCTAGAACATGGAAGCAACCTAGATGTCTATTGATAGAGGAATGGATAAAGAAGTAGTGGTACATATACACAATAGGATATTACTCAACCATAAAAAGGAACACATTTGAGTCAGTTCTGATGAGGTGGATGAACCTAGAACTTATTATACAGAGTGAAGTGAGTCAGAAAGAGAATGATAAATATCATATTCTACCACATATATATGGAATCTAGAAAAATGATACTGATATTCACAGGGCAGCAGTGGAGAAACAGACATAGAGAATAGACTTACGGACATGGGGAGAAGGGAGGAGAGGGTGAGATGTATGGAAAGAGTAACATGGAAACTTACATTACCATATGTAAAATAGATAACCAAAGGGAATTTGCTGTAAGGCTCAGGAAACCCAAACAGAGGCTCTGTATCAACCTAGTGGGCTGGGATGGGGCAGGAGATGGGAGGGAGGTTCAAAAGGGAGGGGATATATGTATACTTACGGTTGATTCATATTGAGGTTTGACAGAAAACAAAATTCTGTAAAGCAATGATCATGCAATAAAAAAAAAATTTTTTTAAAGGCTGAGGGCGGGGCCAGCGGTTGAGAGGTGGGACTAGGGGTGATGGGCAGTACGAGAGAGAGGAGACGCGGAAGTGGGAGGAGCCTTATTTAGGGGCGGGACTTAGGGGATACAACAGGCCAGAGAGCAGTCAGAAGGGTACCAGCAGGGGACTGATAGGCGGGGCCGAGGATCTAAGGGTGGGACCAAGGAAGAGCAGGGAACCTGGAACTGAGATGGACAAGGCAAGCAATTCCTCACCCGATTCTGCACCGTGTCCTCTGGAGCCGCCGGGAGTCGCGTCCTTCGCCGGAGGCAGAGCGGTGGAGCCGGGGGCGGGGAAGACTGGGCCCTCCGCGCCGGAACTCCCGCCATGACTGATGGCAGCTTCTCAACTGTATCATTCCGCGCGTAGCCTCCGGGCCCCAAGGCCGCCATCGTCGCGTCGGAGCACGGCGACCGTTACACTCAACCGCCGCCGCCGCCGCCACGATCCACTTGAATAGCGAACGGCCGCGGGAAAGCCGGCGCTGCCGCCCATTGGACGCGGGGGTCTGCTGGTCTGGCCAATCTCAGGGTTACCCTGCGGCGCTTTTGACCAATGAGGGCTAAGAGGTGGAGCGGGGGTCCTGGCTGGGTGGAGCCACGGCTTCTTAGCTAGATGTTTGATCGAGCGTTGTGGAGTTTTTTTTAATCCCGTCTGTGTTTTCATCATTCACTGAACGTCAGTTTTGAACTTTTACGAGGCTAATGCCAAAGCCCCCTACCGCCACCCCAGGCCGACTATCCTCGCAGTAGCAGTCGCCCGGATGTAAGCTAGGGTGGAGCCGAGACAGACTGAAGAGTTGGCGCAGACTCAGAAAGGTCTTGACACCACCTCTTCCCCCAACACGTGATGAAGTCCCGGCGGCTCAGAGCCGGTTTTGCTTTATTCACTTGCCACGTGATGTGGCAACGCAGTATGGCACGTAATACGCAGGCGCAGCTTTCCTTCCCTCCGCATGTGACGAGGACCCAAGGGCCGTCACGTGAGGCAGGAGACAAGCGCGCGGGTGGGGCGGGGTTCGGCGGTGCCTGGCGAGGATCAAAGTGCGGCTGCAGACCGGGCAAAACCCAGTTGGGCTGGACAGCCATGCCGAAGTACTGCCGGGCTCCGAACTGCTCCAACACTGCGGGCCAGCTGGGCGCGGACAACCGCCCGGTGAGCTTCTACAAGTGAGCGCAAGCGAGGGGCGGGGCTTACAGGGAGGCGGGGCCCAAGGGCGGGGCAATGTGGGGCGGGGCCCGAGGATAAATGCTGCGGCGCGGCGCTCCTGGTCTAGGTTGCAGGTATTTGGAAGCAGGGTTAGTTGCAGTAAACACGGTACATGTAAACGTGCAAAGGTATGATACAGCAGGGATAGACGATTATCTGCAGGTAGTGAGCGGGGCGAACGGAGGAAAGGGAGGGCTGTGTAGAGGAATGAAGTTGGTCCAGGCTCAGAAAGAGCTTACAGTTGCCTACTCGCCATCCCCACGAATTTGAGGCATCTCAAACTCAAAACTTCCGAAACGGACCTCCTGACTGTCTCTCCCAGAACCTCCCATAAGGTTTCCTATCTAATAGCTTTTCATCCTTTACTGTCTTTCAGGCTAGAAATGCTTAGAACCAACTTTACTTTTTTCTCACACCTGAGAAAGTAAAACTTAGCTTGAATTTTTAAAACAAAACAAACCCAAAATCCCTGCCTTCTAATTTATTTAGGTGGGATGACAGAGATGGAAAAAACCTGGCTGAAGAGTTAATCGGAAAAAAATTTTCTCAGGGACGTGCTGCAGATGTGAAGGAGCAAAACTTCCCTTCTTTAAGCGACTACTGCTTTTTTACTAAGAAGCTTTGTTCTCTAAAATCATAGGCTATCACAAACTTTGCTGTTTGAAATTACATCAGTAGGAATGAAACATCTTACTTAAGGCCTGGAGAAGTTAGGTCGCTTGACACAGAGAAGCAGCCTTGATTTATAGTCCAGGTTCAGAACTTCAGGTAAGGGGTTTCTGGACACAGTAGTTCACATCTACCCAAACTTTATTGCTTCCAAGGAGACAGACCCTGGGCCCACTTTGCAATCCAGGTCTGATATTGATCCATTTACGCATAGTTCTGCTCTGCTTTGATCTTATCCAAACACTGTTTCACTTACATTTCATCTAAACTTTACCCATTCCCCCAAGCCCCAATAATGAGGCTTCCCAGGTGGCGCTAGTGGTGAAGAACCCAACTGTCAATGCAGGGTATGTAAGAGACCTGGGTTTGATCCTGGTCAGGAAGATTCCCTGGAGGAGGGCACGAGCAGTCCACTCCCGTATCCTTGCCTGGAGAATCCCATGGACAGAGGAGGCTGGCAGGCTACAGTCCATAGCGTCGCAGAGTCGGACACGACTGAAGCGACTTAGCATGCAAACCCCAATAATAATTATTTTTCTCTGTTTGATGAAATTCCCCACAGTACCTCTGGTGTGCAGTTCACTTATTGCCAAGGTAAATAAGCCTGACTTTATTAGACTCCAGGTTTGTCCCTGGTGGCCTTAGTCTAAATGGGCCAGGACACATTCCTCATCTGGTCCATCAGCAAATCCTGTTGGCATTCCCTTAAAAAAATTTTTTTTAAGTTATTATTTTTGGCTGCAGTGGGCCTTCATCGCTGCACACAGGCTTTCTAGTTGAGGTGAGTGGGGGCTACTCTCTAGTTGTGGTACCCAGGCTTCTCATTGTGGTGTCTTCTCTTGTTGCAGAGCATGGGCACCGGGGTGTGGGGGTTTTAGTAGTTGTGTGAGTGGGCTTAGCAGTTGTGGTCCACAGGCTTAGTTGCTCTGAAGCATGTGGAATCTTCCCGGACCAGGTGTTGAACCCATGTCCTCTGCATTGGCAAGTGGATTCTTAACCACTGGACCACCAGGGAAGTCCAGGCTCTTCCTTTAAAGGCTATCCAGAATTGACCACTCTGTCCCCCATCTCTGCCCCCACCTTGGTATTGGCCACCTCCTGACTGCACTATTTTAGTCAGTTCTCCATTTGACAAGCTGCTCCCACAGTCTGTTTTCCACATGCAGTCACAGGGGACTGGTAACCCCCTGCGTCAGATCAGGGCTCAGATGCCTCCTCTGGCTCCCACCTGACTGTATGAAAGACAAGAAGGTGAGGCTGGAGCAGGCAGTAAGCAGGCCTGCGAAGCCCTACAGGCACTGGATCCCCACTTTTTGGCCTTATCTCCTCTCTTCTGCCCCTTACTCATTCCATGCCAGTGTCACTGCCTGTTTGATGTTCCTCTAGCATGCCAGGCACATTCTTGCCCCAGGGCCTTTGCATGGAAAGTTCTTCCCTTTATGACCACTACTCTGTAAAATGATAACCCTCTCCCAATACGTACGTATTTTCTTTACTTGCTTCTTGCTTTATTTTCCCCTTTAACCTTAACACTATCTGGCATACCACATGTTTAATATTGGGTTGGCCAAAAAGTTCATTTGGGTTTTTCCACAAGATTGTATAGAAAAAGCCAAACGAACTTTTTGGTCAACCAAATATATCCATTTATTGTCTCTTCCATTAGAATGTCAGCTTCCTGAAGGCAGGGATTTTTGTCTGTCTTATTCCCTGTTGTGTCTCTATCACCCAGAACAGTGCCTGGCACATAGTGCTTAGTAAATATTTGTTGGGTTAATTAGGTGAATGTGTCTCATATGAGCTTCCCAGGAAACCCAGAACTCCACATCCCAGCTACCCTTTGAGGGACCCTGTTTCAGGGTAGGAGGAGAGTAGAGTGGTCTTTGGACCTGAATCAACATGTCCAGACTTGCATTTTAAAATGTATCACTCTGACGTGCATGTGCATGCTAAGTTGCTTCAGTTGTGTCAGACTCTTGTGACCTTATAGACTGTAGCCTGCCAGGCTCCTCTGTCCATGGGATTCTCCAGGCAAGAATACTGGAGTGGGTTGTGTGCCCTCCTCCAGGGGATCTTCCTGACCCAGGGCCCAATCCACATCTCTTAAGTCTCCTGCATTGGCAGGTGGGCTCTTTACCACTGGTGCCACTTGACACCATTTATTAATTCAGCAACTTTGAGTGTCTCCTGTAGTAAGCAGGCCCCTGCTGGACACATGGGACACTGACACATCTTGTTCCTGCCCTGACAGAGCTCATGGAAAGGTGCAGGGTCAGTCATTGACGAACTGAGGACCCAAACTGATCCTCTTTTCTTCAGCACCACTGCCCCCAGTCTATACCATTAATCCATGCTTTAACTCTACCCTCTGACACTCCCCATCCTGCAACAATCACAACAAAACCCCTGACTCTTTGGAAATACAGTTACAGATGCCAATGACAGAACCCTCACTAAACTATTAGGAAATAAGGAAAGGAAAAAGCCCACCACGTTCCCAGCCTGACTACTTCTTACCACCTCTGCTATCACAGTGTAGTCCAGGCTGTCAGTCTCTTCTAAGATCTTTTTTTAATGTGGACCATTGTCAAGTCTTTATTGAATTTGTTACAATATTGCTTCTGTTTTGTCTTTTGACCACGAGGCATGTGGGGTCTTAGCTCAGCTCCCAGACCAGGGATCACACCCAGGCCCCTTGGATTGGAAGGCGACGTCTCAACCATTGGACCACCGGGGAAGTCCCTGTCGTTGTCTCTTACTGAGATGCTGTTACAGGTGCTTGCTGGTCTCCCTGCTTCCGCTCTTGCTTCCCTTACAGCAACAACAGTAAAAACTTCTTTAGAGAGCACTTCCTGTAGGCCACGTACTGTTCCAGGTTCTTCACACGTAATAATGAGAGCAATAATGACTGTACACAGCAGCCAGAGGAACATGGCAAAATCAGGGAATTCGCTGGTGGTCTACTGGTTAGGACTCCACGCTTTCACTGCCAAGGGCCTGGGTTCAACCCCTGCCTGGGGAATTAAGATCCCACAAGCTACTCGGTGTGGGGAAAAATAAAAATCAGTTCACATCTGTGTGTTGAAATCTCCACCAGTGGCTGCCAGGCTGTTCCTCACACAGGCTGACCCATTCCCACCTCAAGGCCCAACCCTGAATCACTCTTGCAGAAGCCATTTAGCTAAGAGTTTGATGAGAAGTAGGCTCCAAAGCAGATTCTAGAGGGCATGGATGCTAGAAGGAACAAGGTGAAACAATGAGCAAAGTACTGGGAAATAACTTGAAATTCCTGCCAGGATGCCAAAGGAAACATTCATTAGTTGTGTTTTAGACCCTATCAGCACACAGGAACAAATGATAGTCATCTCATGGGGGTGGGTGTCTATGGGGTGTCTATCAGGTATGAATTGCATCTGTTTGGCAGTTAACAAAGTCCTGAAATAATAGTGGCTTAACCAAATTATGGGGTCTGTAGGAATCAATCTGGCTGAGTTATGCTACAGTAACAAACTCACCAAAACTCAATAGCTTACCGCAACAAAGGTTTATTTCTCACTCAGACTAATGTCCTTGGCATGCCATTGATGGCACTTCTCTACTGTGTCTTAATTAGGGGCCTGGGCTGGAGGAGCTGCCCCTAGGTGGAATGTTGCTGATCTTGTGGGAGGGGGAAAAAGAGACAGTGGGGAGAAGTCACCCAGTGGCTCCTGGTAACTTGTGTACTTTGAAGTGGCCCATGTAACTTTAACTGCTTTGGCAAGTTTATAGCAGTGTCAGGTCAGTGGAGTGGAAATGTGTTTCTGTGTTGGCAATGGTAGCAAATGTTTTGAACAATAATTCAGTCTACGCAAGGTTTGTTTTTCTCTCATAGAAAGCAAATATGTATGTTGGCAGACCAGCACTGATGTGGCAGCTCCACAGTCATCAGGGATGAAGGTCCTGTCTTTCATATCCATCCTCCAGCAGCCAACTGCCCCAACCATCATGCCCTACCATTTCTGGTAGGGAGAAAAGGGAAAGGAGGAAGAGTAAAAGGGACTCAACTCTAAACCAAGCTGGTCCACTTCACAAAGCCTTCCCAGAAATCCCACCCAATGATTCTTCATCATTGGGCATTGCAACTGCAAAGGATGCTGGGAAATGTAGTCTTTTTGATAGGCTTTAACCACCCTGATGACTTTTTGAATTATGTTAGTAAGGAAAAACAGAACTAGCGGTGCTCTAGATAGAATGGCTAACTAAAGACTAAATAAGAAAGACTAAGTTAGAATGGCTAACTAAGACTAAAATA